ATGCACCATGACGTTAAGATTTTGACAAAATGATAGTCATAGGACGGTTGTGTGAGAATATTTTACTTTAGGGTTAATATCACGAAAAATCCAAAATTGGTACACATATGACAATTTTATCTCAAACTAGTTTTTTGACCACCACAAACTTTAAATTGGTACCTCTTTGACAAGTTTACCCCAAATTAATTTTTTGATAGCCAAAAAACCCAAACTAGTATACTAGTGACAAATTTACTCTCAGTTAAATTGGATTAACAACACAAAATATCACAAACTGGTAAATCTGTAACAAAGAGAGAGGTAAAACCCTAAACCGGTACATCCATCAACTGCCATGTGTCATACAACTCAGTAATTTGACAGTAAAATTTAACGAAAACTAACAAAGGATAAATTTATCACAGGTGTACCAGTTTGGGGTTTTTATGGTCAAAAAATTAGTTTGAGGTAAATTAGTCAAAAGGTAAATTTTTCATAATTAACCCAGCGATGGTGAGGCAAGCCCTCACCAAATCTAATCAGGGCTTGCCTCACCAGTGACAAGGCGAGGCTCACCCTCGCCAATGGCCGACAAGGTTGACCTCGCCGACCAGAGGAAGAAGGAAGAAAATTTGAAAATATATTAAAAATTGTCACAGCACTGGTCATGCCACGTCAACGTCGATTGGCCAAAATTGGCACAAATGCAAAAGGTTTAAGACTCAATTGGCAAAAAAAAAAGGGTTATGACTGAATTAACACAATTATAATAGGTTTAAGACTTTTTTTGGTAATTCTCTCATTTTAGATGTATGTGCGATTGTCAGAATCATATTTTTTTGTGCTAATCCATTAGTCCTAAATCAAATAAAAAAGGTAAAAAAAACGCTAACCAATAAAGACAAAAAAAAAAAAAAACTACGCATTGTAACTTAGGTAACTAAAAGAGAGAAAAGAGTATATTGGAAATTGTAACATCTAATATTCTTGATTCTTGTAAAAAAAGTAATATGCTTACGTAAAATCAGAATATCAAATCCAAACATTTAATGTATATAAATCCTAACAAAATTTTCAGAATCATAGTAGTCCATACCGAGTATAGCCCTCTCAATCAAACATATGCATTTCTCCAACTTTCCGCAGAACTTAGTCACCATGCAAAGAAAACAAATCCGTTCGTCATTTGATACGTATCATGCTAGGAAAATTTTATGTGTAGTTAACAACTTTGTTATAATATCAAGAGGAAATAATAAAACATTTTCAAGGAAATATTTACCAGGATGAGTTTTAAGAGATGCTAGAGTTTTACATGATTGTTACTTTGCAATATCAAAACTCATCGAACTCTTTTGTCGAGCAAAACTTATGGATTGAATGAGGCAAGTACAACATTCTAGTGGAAGTAAAAATGGCAAACAGTGCAAAAAAATTGCTCGTTGAGAATAATCAATCCCTTGCAAATTAGATTCCTATACGTCAACCTTAGAAAACACAATGCAATTATACATCTACATAGATATTTTTGTCGTGCTACAAAGTGAAATAATTTCTAATTCCAATAATAGATATTAAAAAAGGGAACAAATTCGATAAGGATGTGTGGATTTTAAGACACATTCATGAGACTTTAGTTCTTTCCTGATAAATGAGTCTAAATTGTTTGATTTGTGGCATGCGCCCATGTTAGAGATGGTGGCTGAAAAGTCGCATAGAAAATTTTCCTCTACCGAAAATATGATTTTCTATTTATGTGTGTACAAATGTATGTTAAAGATTGCAAGGTGATTTGGTGCTTATTACTTCATGTATTTTAGTGACTGCAGGTTTACTTGCAACAGAGAAGCAAAAGTGACTTAGCGGGTCTATTTAGGGCGCGAATGATAATCATTTTGTTCTAGAAATCAATTTCAGACCATTTTTCTATTTCTGTTCCATGGATGAATTTCTGAGCCAAAATACGTGTTTGGTAATGATGCAAAATTTTTGTTTCTGAAATATAAATTCGTTTGATAACGACACAAAATTTCTTTCTCCCGAGCTGCTGGGGGGTGGGCTACGGCAGGAGGCGGTCGACAGTGGACAGTGGAGGACGGTGGCCGGCGACGAGGACGGCAATGGGAGGTGGCTGGTGGGAGGTGGCCAGTGATGGCTGACGATAGGAGGCGGCCGATGTCCGGCAGTGGCGAAGGATGGCAGACGGCAAGAGGTGGCGAAGGGTGGGAAGCGACAGGTGGGCAACGATGGACGACGGTAAACGGTAATGGGAGGCGACAAACGGCAGTGGACAGCGGTGGGAGGCAACTGGCGATCGACATCGGTCAGCGGAGGATGGCGGCAGGAGGCGATTGGCTGCAATGGCAAGCAGTAGATGAGCAGGCCGGCTAATAGCGACGACGAGTAATGAGAAAAATCTTTATTTCTCATTTCTGTTCCAAAAATAAAAATTTGAAAATTTTTACTTCTGATCTCTATTCCAAACCTATTTCTGAAGTAGAAATTTGTTCCAGAAATAGAAAAATGATATTGTGTTACCAAACCGATTTTTGTTCCAAACCTGTTCTTAGGAACAGAAAAATATAGAAATAGAATGGTTATCAATCTTAAACCAAAAAGAGGTTACTAGATTCCCCAATTCATTTTAAAATTATATTCCAAAAAATAATTGCTTGTATCGCTCACAGAAATAAATATACGAAAAGAATATTTTCATCGTTCACGAGAAATATTTAGATATAAATTGTTGTCGATTATAAAAACGTTTTTTATTGACTAATTATTTCAAGCAATACAAATGATCATTCTTAGGAAAATATATTTTCCAGATCATTTATTTCCGTGAAACAAACAAAGCCTAAATTCAAAGAGCTCGTGACCTCATTTGCATATGTAATTTCAATTATAGCTCATCTTGCCCTCTATACCAGCTAATCCAGTGAAATACCCACGACTCATCTTTGCCATGCCTACATCAACAACGATAGGACAGAGAATTATCACAGGAAATAAGCATAGACATCTATTATTGTTGCCTTTTCTTCCTTCATTTGATAAGATCAAGATGACTATTGAATATATGAGATACAAGGAAAGACAAGACTTCCTTGTAACTTGACCTGTTTGTTTTTACCTTCTATAGCTTTTAGCTAATGCATCGCTCTTCATCTACGAACCAATGTCCATGGTAACATTCACCTTGGGAACCCTTTGTGGCAAAACAAGGCTTTTGCGTTTGTTTGCCATAAAAGATCTTGAAATTAGATATTATATTATTAACAATCTCAACTATGTACCCAAAATTCGACCCAAAAAAAAAAAAACATGTACCCCAATCATCCTAGGTCTTTTTGGGGAGATCAAGATAGATTATGTTATGACGTGTAAAACAATTCCTCTTTGAGAAATCTCTAGTATCATTCAAACAAATTTTACATTGGCTTAGAATTTCTTCGAATTGAAATCGCTACTCTTACTAATCTATCCAGCCTAAGAATGAAATACAGTTGAGACTTGACAATTGAAGAGTAACTATAAAGGCTCAATACAAACAGCGATACAACCTTAGACCTTGTACGTGACGGAACTCATTACCAATCCATGAATGACTGATCCGACATGGAAAATCCACATGTGTTGACATGTATGAGTTATAACGGAGTGTAGATTTGGCTTGGGGTACAAGATTGGGACTTTTTGTAAGACGAAAATTAGTTTGAGGTAAATGTGTCATGAAGTAGTATGAGATGTTTTATGAGATGAAAATTAGTTTTAAGATAAGTGTGAGGGGTATCGGTTTTAGATTTTTAGTGATGTTAAGCCTAAAAAATATGGAACAAGTACGTATTATCTGAATGGCCTTCACATATTGAATGTTTCCAGACGAGGTCAGCACTTACACAGGAGCAGATAAATGAATTCTCAGATGATATCTGAATGTCTTTTGACAGTTCGGTGAATAACCCTGAAGTACACTAAGACAGCCAGCGGTTCTCTTACAAGGTACACTTTCCCGGGAGCTCCTGAGCTGTATATATGTCTACCGAGCTTTCTTGGCGTGATAGTTATTTCTGGTTTCAGTTTTCGAATTGCTCCAGTCGAAGCATGATGCAAAGGACAAGAATCCGTTACTTAAAGTTGATCAGAACTAACCTGGAGGGCATTGCTGTCATGACCTTAAGGATGCATATCCAACTGTGATGGAGGACTCACTGGTACTTCTAATTGTGATTGATCTGTCCTGTCCTCGTTGCAACTCTGATTCTTGTTTCCTTAACTTAATCGGTATATGTTTTTAAGATTTCCATTTTATAAGCTGGCTACTTTGATTGTTGTGGGGTTTAAACTTCCTTTTTTTTGGGCGTTTCCGATTAAGTTACATATTTGCAGGGGAACAGATCAATATGACTACTGAACGAAGTGTAGAGTTTCTGCTGTGTTGTTTTTGTCTCCTGAAATTGATTCACTAGTTGTTCCCTGGTTGTTTTAGTCGACTATTGGATCGTACAACGCATTTCTAAGACTTACATATGCAAAACATGTGCAGGCCTTAAAAGCTGCAGGTCTGTTATGGCACCTGCAAAAACTCCAATTCTCAAGAGGGTATTGCCTTCCAAAGATCCATCCATCGGTGTCCATCAAAGTATATGATGATCTGAAGCAGCTCTTCCAGAGCAGAGTTGCCTCTAGATATGACTGGACATCAAGGAGGATCTCCTCAAGAACGGGATGAAACTGTCAAAAGCACGATGCTGAGGAGGGTTGCATCCCAAATCCACAGAATTTCGTCCCACCCTGTGAAAGAATAGAAGCAGGAGATCGGCAAGAGGACAAAGCACACCATCGTTCATCTTCGAGAACTTTTTGCAGATCTCGATGGTTCCCGAAGGAGGGAGTTGCCAAAGCTGTTCTCAACAGGGGCTAGCATGGGTGACTCAAACCTTTCTTCCCTTCTTTTTTTGTTGATCAATGAAGGCACTTAAGCGCCAAACACCGAGAGAGACCAAAGAAGCAACTGTCGAGCAAGTACCTTCGCTGTACAGAGAAATCAGAAACACGAAGAAGGATACATGCATCAAGAGTTCATAGTTGCAGACCTTGAACTTGAGTAGTACTTCTACTTCTCATACTGTTTCTCTAGCCAGAGTTTCCATAAAAATGGTCAAAACTCAAACATCATTTCTGCACTGGCTTGAAGCAATGAAACAAGGTGAACAATATGCATGATTGGTCAGTCACACTGTGTCAGTCGTGTGACCAGCACATAAAATACTTTCCCTTATGCAGATATCTGAATAGCTTGTCAAGACAATATCTGCAAGTCCTGCGTAATTCTGCCCAAAAAGAGAAAACAACCGTTCTAGTACTTAATTTAGATACATATGTAGCAGAAATAATGTCGTACTTCTGGTTTCATTCGACTTAGCAATAAAGAGATCAATGAGGAATTGAAAGAGAAAAATTAGAACTAGTCAATCAAAGAATAGTTTGGGAGAAGTTTATTCCAACGTGCATTACTAGTGCCGATGGAACAATCTCCGGGCGTCACCTGTGTAAGTATCCATCAAGGAACACGCAGTTTGCACCAGGGTCAGAACGAGCAGCACCACAGCGACGACCACAGAGATCCCGGACCACGGGTTGCTGAAGTAGTCCCGGTTGAGGATGACCTTCCATCGGTACCAGGCAGCCTTCCACCGGTGCCACCGGGTCCGGCTGTACGCATTCATTTCTTCACACTGGCTTGAGTAGAACTGGCTGGATTCCCTCATGATCTCCTTGTACATGCTGTTGATGAGATTAGCCACGTCATCTGCGCTCTTAAGCTGATTTTCCAAAATCCCATAGCGGATTAGAATGTCAATGTCGTCTGGCGTGTTGATGAGGCTGTCCATGAAGACGGCATAGCTGCTGATGTACTTGTATTCGTGGTGGCACTGCTCATACACGATCATGTTCCTGAAGTACACCTCAGTCCACTCGTGCACAACCAGGTGTGGCATCTCAAGGGTCCCGTCCCTGAAGATGACATCGAGCACGGATGAGGTTCCCTCAGCCTGTCTGAACTTGACGCCGGCCTCGTGCAGCTCCTTTGCACTGCGAGTCAGCTCGAATTTGGCCAGTTTGGACGTCACGCCCCGCGGGAATGAGGGCAGTTGCAGGGCTCGCACGTAGTCCACTAGGTGCCGCACCTGAAATCTCGTGCCTGCAAGCTCGTGCCCGTGCAAGACATCTTTGAAGTACTCGTAGCTGAGCTTGAAGAATGTGACAGCGGTCCTAAATGCAGTGAGGTTATAGAGATTCTCGAGGACAAAAAACGGAACTTGGTTTTCCAGGAGCAGGACGTCGCGGAATACGCCATTGCTCATCCACTGCTTGCAGAATATCTCATCGTTCTCATCTCGGTGCTCAACGTAATGGTTCCTTATGAAAAGCTCAACTACAAAAACTGCGTCCACCAAAATAATTTCAATGAGCTCTTCGCTGCCTTGAATAAGATTTTCTTGGTAGCATTGCCGAATGCGGTCTTCCGATTCCCCGATGATTCTGGTACAAGCTAGGAGGTCGGCCTTGACACGGCGGAGGAATTCCTTCAAGTACCTTAGTTTGATCTCCTCCCTAGACTGAAGCTTTGTCTTATCATGGTGGAGCGGCCCGATGGAGATGACTTGCGGAGTGTAGGCCTCTGCGTTTACTCTGCGGAACTTCTCAGGCACTCGATAGATGCAACACTCGGTGGACACAGGAGGCAAGTTGTTCATCTTCGTCATTATGGTAATCGCAACTTCCTTGACAGCCTGACTCATGCCTAAACAAGTGAAAGAAAAAGATTACAAACCCATGAAACCAGAAAGAGTGAAAAGGTAAGTTTGGGCATAATTCCATTGACATGTCACGCTGATTTGGTGCCTAATGACAGAGAATGAATTAAGCATACGTTCTTTTTTTCCATTTAACGGGACTCGAGTTCCATCAGAAAGAAAAACGAAGCCAAAAACAACGCGAAATGATGTTTTTTTCTAGTAGAACAGAAAACACGCCGCACGTCGCGATGCTTTCAATTTGTTCTAGAAATGGCATAAATGTCTGCATCGACAGAATATCATGATCTGATTTTGATTGTCATGAAGAAACCCCTGCTCTTGGAAGGTTCAACCTGTGGCGCTCCACTGCGTTTCTGCCCGTCAACTTTGGGCAAATCGGAAAAGCCGTTCAGTTTCAGGAGGCCTTGTGCCTCAGCTAGTTGAGAAAATATTTGAAGAATCTGCAAAGCTTGAGAAGGGAATAATGAAAAACGGTCAGGTCCCTAGAGCTCTCACCGCCGTGCAACAAAATCAATTTGCGGTTCAAATCAAGTGGCCGCAAATAATAGGAGATCATAACTCCCAAAAATCTTACCGGAACAAGCATAATCTAACCTTGTATTTCTTTGCTATTCTACGGGCAATCAGTAAAGTCGTCTCATACTATTCGAATTGAAAATAATTGCCGCATGTGGTCACTAAACATAATGCTCTATGTCTTCACAAGAAGCACTGAATTGAAAGATGCTGAGAGAAAAATTAAGAAGGCTTACCTGAGATTGAACGCGATCTTCCTTCCTGCTGTCATCGGAGAAGTACGGTTTGCTTCCCAGACTATATAGTGAGAAACCACGCAAACCATGAAAACAGTAGCTATGGGAAGACAACAGAAAGATCTGTTATTCTTTAACCTTCTATGAAGCATTATTATCTTGAGCACGCAAAAGGAGGTCTGACCATTACTATCAATCACAAAGAAAAAGGAGAAGGGGGAAAAAACACAGAACAGAGTCATTTGGTTTCTTTGCCATTAAGCCGAAAGATCTCCTCTTGGTCCGACTTTATCTCTAGACTGTTAGAGAAGTTTTTGATGCAGAAAAAGTGAAAATACTTTGGTCACAATTACACTGCAACTATGAAGTATTTTAGTTATCCTCCGTGATGAAACAGCAAAAGCAAAATTCTTCTTGTCATAAAGCTTGTTCGAAGACTTTTTCTATGGTTACATTAACCCATATTACTAATTTAAGGCTTATGACAGGGATTAGCTCGCCCGCACGTATTTTGTATCAATAAATACTCTTACTTATTTATAAAAAAATAACATTATGACAAGTTTTTCCGTAATAAATGGTTTAAGGCTTGAACTATATATATTTTCAATTAGTTCAATCTGATCCTTAAATTTCTTTTTTCGTCCAACTAAATTCTTGAACTATAAATTCTTTTGTTTAAGTTAGTCCTACCGACAAATATATGAACGGAAACGATGATGTGGAACTACATCAACATCACTTCAATACATTGATATCCATGCCATTTCAATCACCACAAAATTGAGCGAAGGCCGCCCCCTCGCGGGTATGTGGCGAGGCACGCGGCCCCGTAGTTGGAGTGGCGAGTTTTGTTTAGAACTTGCAAATTCTAGGGCCCAAGTCACAGTTTGATTGCGTGCTCGCCGTGTAGTCATGGCAGACATTGATCAATTGGCTTTTACTGAGATTAAGTCTATAGATCGTATTCTATGCGCAATTTGGGGGATTTTTGTGACTTGGCATGTAGCACATGTGCAGGAACGGCAGCCGAGTCAAACAAGAGGAATGAGTTGGTTCAAATAGGCCGGGACTTTGACATTGGGTTCGTCTCTTCAATGGTACCATTTTAGGAGAGAATTTTAAGAAATTCGGTATCTTTACATTTCGTGGCATCGCCAATAAGAAAAAACCTTGATATTTGAGAACATTATTGGCTCGTTTGGTTCAACTTTCTAAATGCTACTTAGGCAAATGCAAATACCTTTAGGTTAAAGCCCATTGGGGAAATGCAAGTGACGTTTAGTAAAAAATCGTTTGTAAAGCTACTTTGGGTCAAGTAGTGTTTGGTAAATATTTTTTGCAAAAAGGCTTTGGGAATTATCGTTTTTATTTAAAAAAAAAAACCTACCTTACCCTTCGTCGGTGCCAGCGAAGGCCTACAGCCGCCGGCGAGCTAGATCTGCCGTAAAATACGACATGAGATAAAGCCATATATAACGAGAATGAGTGTCCACAAAGATAACAAAATAGCGAGAGCCTCCTATGGTGGGGTTGGAGATAGTCGCCAAATTGGGTGAATGAGATCGAAATGAACATGAAAGACAGATTCACTATGATCAAATGGCAAGACATGGTATTTTCCCAGCAGACGAGGCAGACATTCTGAATGTTTATTATTAACAGAACCTAAAAAACCACTTGAAATCAAAAATCTTAATCTACATAAAAGCATGACCTAATCGAGAATGCCAAATTTCAGATGACACTGTGATAGCACAACCGGCAAAAAAGTTGAGCATATTAAAGTAAACAGGCTCAAATGGGCATTTAACTCTATGTCTTGTCTCGTCCGTGAATTCTATACATGATGGCCATGAGAAGAGAAATGAACATCAAAACCAAGTTCTCATAATTCGCCTACTAAAATCAAAATTAGGGACAGTTTGGGAACCATAAAAGTTTAGGCAAGGACAATATAATATTGAAATGTTTTCTGTATGGCTGACTCTCATTTGGTAACTATCAATTGTGTGAATGGTAGGAGCATGTGAAGTGAATGATTTTGACTAAAATAAATTAGAATTTAAAGTCATATAATTGCAGCAAGTGGAGTAAAAAAAGCACTAATAAGAAGCATCACAGAAGAAACATAGAAGCCAGAAGTACCATATTTTTTAATAATAGAATGAAAATTCTCTAATGAGAGAGTAACAGACAATCCACTGGGGGAAGAATTTATGGTACCAGTAGTGGCAGATGGACTAGCATGTGGATCGTGGTTCCAAGGTGGATTATGCATCCCTGAAAGTTGCTTAGGTCACAGTGGATGACAATTAGGTCTTGAAACTTAAAATTTATCCATATTTTGTGAGTTTCACGGCAGATTGAACAAGAAATATAAAGAAACCAGTGCCACGAGAGCAGATATGCAAGGCAAAAAATGGACTCAACACGTCAAAATATCATGGAAATCGGTCTGAGGTCGCCTAGAACCGGTTGGAAGGTGCCCAAACCAGCCGGAAAAGTGCCTCGGAGCTGGTCAGACCGGTTTGACTGAACTGGTCAACGCTCAAAGCAGGTTAATAAGGGTCAATGCTGATCAATGGCAACGGTCATCGGTCAAATGCTGACGTGGCATGCTGATGTGGCAGTTGACATGGGAGGAGCGATTGGCGCGTGGAGCTTCGGCAGCGCATGGATCTCACATGCAGTGGCTTCTGGTAGTGCATGTGGGCGTGTGTGATGGATTTTGGCGGCAAAATTTTGAGTGGCTGGCTCAACTGACGGTGGTGAGTCTGGTGGTAGTGTTCGTTGTTTGAAAGAACCACCAAACAGGATAAATGCATTCAAAATCCTAAAACTTATCACAAAAGTATAATTAAGTCCTAAAACTTTCAAAAAGTGCAAATAAGTCCTAAAACTTGTCACGAAAGTGCACTTGAATCCTAAAATTATAAAAAAGTGCAAACAAGTCCTAAAACTTATTAAATTGATTCAATCAAGTCCTTCCATTGATTGTACTTTTTGAAAGTTTTAGGACTTGTTTGCACTTTTGTGACAAGTTTTAGGACTTGTTTGCATTTTCGTGATAAGTTTTAGGATTTATTTGTACTTTTTGAAAGTTTTAGGACTCAAGTGCACTTTCATGACAAGTTTTAGGACTTGTTTGTACTTTTTGAAAGTTTTAGGACTCAACTGCATTTTTGTGATAAGTTTTAGGACTTCTAGTGCACTTATCCCACCACCAAACTATGTCGAAATAGCACTGAAATGCAACCGGCTAAGAGGAGGCGACGCTTGGTTGTGCGTGAGGCTGCATCTGTTAGCTGTCTACATCGAAATTTCAAGCTATGATTTGTCTGAGGATGGTGGGCTTGGTGGTGTTGTTTGTTTTCTGAAACGAGCAGCGGAAGAGTCTCGAACGGAAATTGAAGTTGTGGACTTGGCAGAGAAACTGGAGCAATGTGGCCGATGCGGTTGGCCTCGTGACAACCACGATGGAGAAACACGGTCGATGTGGCTGGAGTTGTTATGAAACGAACTCGATGGACGCTCTCTCATAACACAAGAAGGCTCCCATACCAAGTTGGGAATTGTGATGACATAAAAATGTAATATTTTGTAAGTTATTGAATGAATAGTACATGAAACTATTCACAAGCTTTATAAGATGGCTATATAAAGTAGCAAAATATCAATTATAATCAATCGGGACCAATCAAAGAAAATATACAGAATCTCATAAATATATCTCTAACACACGTTATGTTAGTGCCTTTTGTTTGTTTCCAAGCTTCTTATTTTACTTCGATTTTGGTTCATCTGCTTTGAAATTTGAAGTTAGCAGTCTAGATCCGAGCATTGCTGTTGAATTTTAGTTTCAAGGCCCCATTAATTGTTGAAAACTCTGGTGGCGGAGCCTACTTTCGGAAGATCCGTAGCTCCTCACAAGCATTCTCGGAAAGATTGAGTATTTCTTGTAATTACTGTTCGGATCAGAATCTGCATTCTCCGTTCCTTCCATTAGATCGTCATTGATCCTGATTCTCTGGCCAATGACCTGACATTTTCTTAGATTAGCTTTTGATTTCTCTCTTTCTGGTGTTTGCTCGTCCCATTCAGCCTGTTACTTTTGAGAGCGTTAATGTGTTCTAGTGGACAATCAACCTTTCTGGCAGCAGAGAAACTCAAGTCAATAGTTATACAGGGCTTCATCAAGATCTCCTTTGCGGTCTTTACGATTTATTTCAAAAGTGATGCGGCCACTGACAAGTGTGTTTTGGATACGGAAATCCAGTTTGAGACTTTCTATTTGCGCCGACGGAACAATCTCCAGGTGTCGCCCGCGTAAAAATCCAAAAAGGAACACGCGGTTTGCACCAAGGTGAGAACAACCAGCACCACCGCCGTAACCACGGAGACCCCAGACCACGGGTTGCTGAAGTAGTCTCGCTTGAGGATGACCCTCCACTGGTACCACGCAGCCTTCATCCGGTGCCACCGGGTCCGGCCGTACATGTTCAGGCTCTCACACTGGCTCGAGTAGAGGAACTTGCTGGAGTCCCTCATGGTCTCCCTGTACATGCCATTGATGAGACTAGCCACGGCGTCCGTGCTCCCAAGCTGATTTTCCAAAATTCCACAGCCGATTAGAATGTCGATGTCTTCAGGCATGTTGATGAGGCTGTCCATGAGGATGGCACAGCTGCTGATGTACTTGTATTCGTGGTGGCACTGCTCGTACGCAATCATGTTCCTGAAGTACACCTCTGTCCACTCGTGCACAACCACGCGTGGCATCTCCAGGGTCCCGTCCTTGAAGACAACATCAAGCACGGAGGAAGTTCCCTCGCCCCGTCTGAACTTGACGCCGGCCTCTTTCAGCTCCTTTGCACTCCGAGTCAGCTCGAATTTCTTGACCTGTTTGGACATTACGCCCCGCGCGAACAAGGGCAGTTGCAGGGCTCGCACGTAGTCCACCAGGTGCTTTACCTGAACTCTCGTGCTTGCGAGCTCGTGCCCATGCAGGACTTCTTTGAAATATTCGTAGCTGAGCTTGAAGAATGTGACAGTGGTCCTCAATGCGGTGAGGTTATAGAGATTCTCGAGGACAAAGAATGGGACTTGGTTTTCCAGCAGCAGGATGTCATGGAATACGCCGTTGCTCATCCACTGCTTGCTGTAGATCTCATCGTTCTCGTCTCGGTGCTCAACGTAATGGTTCCTTATGAAAAGCTCAACTACAAAATCTGCGTCCACTAAGATCATTTCTACGAGCTCGTCGCTGCCTTGGGTGAGATTTTCTTGGTAGCATTGCCGAATGCAGTCTTCCGATTCCCTGATCATTCTGGTACAAGCAAGGAGGTCGGCCCTAATGCGACGGAGGAAGCCTTTCAAGTATCTCAGTTTGATCTCCTCACTCGACTGAAGCTCTGTGTTATCACGGTGGAACGGCCCAATGGAGATGACTTGAGGTGTGTAGGCCTCTACGTTTGCTCTGCGGAACTTCTCAGGCACTCGATAGATGCAACACTCGGTGGATACAGGAGGCAAGTTGTTCATCTTAGTCGTTATGGTAATCGCAACTTCCTTGACAGTCTGACTCATATCTAAACAGGTGAAAGAAAAAGATTGCAAACCCCTGAAACTAGAAAGAGTGAAGAGGTACATTAATTTGGGCATAATTCCATCGACATGAATGACATACGGTGATTTGGTGCCAAATGGAAAAGAATGAATTAAGCATACATTCTTTTTTTCCATTTAACAGGACTCGAGTCACCTCAAAAAAGAATAACAAAGCCAAAAACAACATGAATATGATGTTTTTTTTCTAGTAGAACAGAAAACCCACCACGCCTTGCGAAGCATTCAATCTGTTCTAGAAATGGCACAAAGATCTACATTGACAGAAGACGAGATCTGATTTTGATGGTCATGAAGAAATCCCTGCTCCGAAAGATTTTACCTGTGGCACTCGACTGCGTATATGCCATTCAACTTGGGGCAAATCGGAAAAGTCGTTCAGTTTCAGAAGGCCTTGTGCCTCAGCTAATTGAGAAAATATCTGAAGAATCTGCAAAGCTTGAGAAACGAATAATGAAAGACCGTCAGATCCCTAGAGCTCTCACCGCCGCGCAACAAAGTCAATTTGAGATTAAGATTACGTGGCCACAAATAATACGAGATCATAACTCCTATGAATTCTACTGGAACAAGCATAATCTAACCTTATTTCTTGGCTATTCTACGGGCAATCGGTAAAGTCGAATGCATACATAGTTCTCGTACTATTTGAATTGAAAATAATTACCGCATGTGTTCACTAAACATAATGCTCTACATCGGCACAAGAAGCACTGAGTTGAAAGATGTTGAGAGAAAAATTGAGCAGGCTTACCTGAGATTCGAGGTAAAGAATGCGTTCTTCCTTCTTGCTGTCCTCGGAGAAGTCTGGTTTGCTTCCCAGACTATATAATGAGAAACTATGCAAACCATGAAAACAATAGCTATGGGGGGATCAAAGAAAGATCTCATATTCTTTAACCTTCTATGAAGCATTATTATCTTGTGCACACAAAAGAAGGTCTGACCATTACTATCAAGCACAAAGAAAACCGAGAAGGGGAAAAAAACACAGAACAGAGTTATTTGGTTTCTTTGTCATTAAGCAGAAAAGATCTCCTCTTGGTCCAACTTTATCTAAGACTGTTAGAGAAGTTTTTGATGCAGAAAAGGCAATAATACTTTGGTCACAATTACACTGCAACTATGAAGTATTTTAGTTATTCTCCGTGACTCAACAGCAAAAGTAAAATTCTTCTTGGCATAATGTTTGTTCGAAGACTTCTTCTATGGTTACATATACCCATATCACTAATTTAAGGCTTATGACAGGGATTAGCTCCCCCGTGCTTATTTTGTATCAAAAAATATTATAAAAAAGAACATTATGGCAAGTTTTTTTCAGTAATTAATGGTTTAAGGCTTGAACGATATACTTTTTCAATTTGTTCAATCTAAACCTTGAACTCCTTTTTTCCATCCAATTGAATCCTGGAACTATAAATTCTTTTGTTTAAGTCAGTCCTTCCATCAAATATATGGACGGAAATGCTGACGTGGAACCATATCAATGCCACTTCGATACATGGATATCCATGTCTTGCCACGTCATTTGCACTCGCCACAGAATTGAGTGAAGGCCACCCTCTCGCAGGTCTGTGGCGAGGGACGCGGCCCTCGTAGTTGGAGTGGCGAGTTTTGTTTAGAACTTGCAAGTTCTAGGGCCTGAGTCACAGTGATTTATGTGCTCGCCAGTGTAGTTATGGCAGACGTTGATGAATTGGCTTTTACTGAGATTCAATCTATAGATCGTATTCTACGCGCAATGGGGATTTTTACGACATGGCATGCAGCACATGTGCGTTTTGGGGACTTTGGAAAGTTTCTGAATGAATGGTGAATCAGAGCTATCGTCCATGGTGTTTATGATTTGGGTATGAGTAGTAGTAGTTCTACTGCTGAGGATGGCAACAACGATCTTAATGTTATAGTCCAAAAAGGTCTTCAAGCCCAACAGACCAAGGAAATAGGTCAAGATAACCCATAAATCAGCCCAATGTTCTAGAATCTTCTTGTATCTACAGTTTTTTAGGAGACTCTATAATGTTCCAAGAGTAATAAGGGAAATGTAAACATGGTAATCTAGAGTAATCCTAGGGACAATATAGAAAATATCCACTTGTATTTTAGACTTATCATTAATCTTCACCGTTAAATCGGGTTGTAGATCTACGGTTGCAATTATAGGGGTTCTTGCATTAATAAGGCTCCGCTCCCTCTCATTTGGATTACTAAGTGATGTAAACACAAGTTGAGAGCTTCTTTCTAGAATAGCTTTGGAAAGAGTTTCCTAAGGCCACACGGATAAGAAAACATTCGAATAGCTAGCTTGTGACAAGTGGAATCTTGGGGAACAATGCAACAAGCCGCTATACTGATCATTACTGACCATTCAACAAGGTTACTGCTCCGTTCTATTTCAAAACTTGAAACCACAAACAAAATATATGACATTCAATCTGAGGACCATCAATTGACAGCGATAATCATCACAGATCTTGAAGCCTCAAGACCTAATAGAATTCATCAACTACTATCGATAAGGACCATATATCTCATAGTCTGCAAAACATATTCTACCATTAGCATACCTCTAGGCTCCGCATAACAACAGTGCTCCAAGTAACGAGGGAACAACGAGTACAGGATCCATCAATCATCAGCGATAAGGATCATCTTGAGCCTATGAATCGTCAAATTCCAGCACTCAACACATCCCATAATCAACCAGTCAAACTCAAAATTCAGTCTCCACATTGAATATTCAACGAGCAACAACGAAGGTCCCATTCGATTACCAAACCAAAAGCTGTGGGGACAAAAAAACCTCTGGCAACTCGAATTAAGTTAGCGAATTCATTAATTACTAGCAATAATGATATGATATCTTATCTCTCTTCTATTCAGTTTCGATTGAAGCTGAAGCTGAGATTTAATCCGCCCGTTAAAGCATATGTCAGATCTGGTTGGGTTGATTTTACCGATTTTGAACATTACCTGCCAAAATTTTCTAACGATTAGCCCTTAAACCCGAGTCTGAAATTGTCGAAACCTACTCCTTAACTTGTTGACTATGACCTGTTCGATGAAATGCGTCTATGGCATTTTCATAAAATAGCTTCTCAAAGTGTTCAAACTGAATGAGTGTTGATATAGTTTATACCTTGTTGATTGCTTCATTGGTTATCAACCATGATTTCGAGTGTGTTCATGATCGTTAAGACTGAAACTACGCACCCGATTGTTCTTTTTTTTTTTCGCATCTTGTGTCGCGATTGACGATGGCAGGCAATGAGAAAAATGACTAGGAGCTATTTATTGGTGACGAGTCACAAGGATTCGTTCCCTCACATCTCGCTTCCTTATTCATAGGCCGTGAGTTTTTTTGAATTTTATGATAGAAGGACTTGGATGGAGATGGACGATCACTAGCTGTGGATCGGATTCTCTCGTGAGGGTCCAGTGGTGGTGGACTAACGTAATTCGCAGTGATGTCTTGGTTGTGCTCTGCTTGCAGGTGGAAAGTGGTGTTCGTTGATTAAAGCTTTGAATATTCTGAATTTATTGTTAAGTTTTGAGAGTTCTCGATCTTTAGTTGTTTTTTTCAGAAAGTTTGGGCTTAATTCTAGTTATAATTGAATTGATGTTTTTTGGGCTTGATCTGCTTTGATAGAAGCATTGGGTTATTGTGAGTTGGGCCTAATTTGCTTTTAAATTGGGCTTGGATTGCTTTGAAATGGGTTTGACTTAAAAGCTCAAGCGTGTCCTTGGCCCGGGTCTATGAGACCAGCGTACAGGCCATATTCGGACCGAGCCCAAGGGCCCAGCCCAGTCCCCGTTTTCCAGAATATAAATGATTTTTTTTTAAAATCAATTAAAAATTTAAAAAATTAGAAAAATTAAAAGAAATCTGAAAATAGCTTAGAAATAGACCTTGATTAGGCTGTTAGATTTTAATATTAGAATTATTTTTGTTTCATTTAGTTAGTATACATATAGTTTAGGGATTAAGGAGTAGCTCTGATCTAGCTTAGGTTTAGCTAGATTAATCCTTTAAAAAAGAAATTGAACTCGATTTGAGCTAAGCTCATGGGAGTTACTATCCTAGAGCTTAATAACAAAGCCATGTTATATTTTTTGCCCGACTCGTATCGAATTACTTTCCTGCATTTTGCTCTTTGCTCGTTCTTTCGTTACGATTTTGCCGAGTTAGATGTGATTCTTTTATATTTCTTTTGCATTGTGATTTTCTTGTAGATTACATTTTAGGACCATAATAAATACAAAAACATTGCATGGATACTTAGCAGACAAGAACTTTAGGACTCCTAGTTTAATAAGAAAACTGCATGCGACACTCAGTTCACAAATGATCGATTTTAGGTATTGAAAGAGCACTTATTAGATAACCAGTATGATCAAGTCATAGACTCTAGATCTCTGGTTGCGTAGAAAGTAAGGTATCATCTGGTACCTCACTTGGCTTCTAGCCGACCCCAATAAGCTAGTGGCCACTCCTTCATATAGAAGTTTTTGGATTAATCAAGATTTAAACAAAAATTCAAAACCACCTGCCTGGGTGGCGCTGCTGGAGCGCGCACTCTTCCTCTCGCAAAAGGTTGAGTGTTCGAATCCCGGGCACCGCAGGGTGACTTAACCGGTGGCACGTGTGTGGTGGCTAGCACGTGTCACCCCCAGGGTTTACTCCCCGGCTGTCAGCCGTGCGGGGGTTCCCTGGGTTACCCAAAAAAAAAAAAAAAAACAAAAATTCAAACGCGCGCGAGATAAGAGTTTGGGAGAACCTGATCCAATTGCGAACCGTTAGTCCCTAACTTGGCATTACCTCTGAACCTGTCATCTCCTAACACTCGTTCAGAAGGGTCCTAACACTCGTTCAGAAGGGTCGCGATAGAGTTGTCAATTGTTCTTTTCATCGCTAAGTTCTGTTATTCACCAAACTCTGTTATTATTGACTAGCTCTGTCACTTGTCGATTATAACAAAAAATTGATCATTTTTTTGGAGTGAACACCTTTCCATTCTTTTGCTCCGTTGCCGAGTGTTGTTCCACACACGTACACACACTTGCACATTAAAACCAAAAACCAACAATGAGCAATTGAAAAAAAAAAAAAAAAATAGCGAATTGAAGAGTAGTTGGGCGAAGTTTATTCCGACGTGCATCACTTGTGCCAACGGAACAATCTCCCCGCATCGCCCGCATAAACATCCATCAAGGAACACGCGGTTTGCACTATGGTGAGAACGAGCAACACCCCACCGGTGACCGCGGAGATCCTGAACACCGGCTTGCTGAAGTAGTCCCGGTTAAGGAGGGCCTTGCACCGGTGGGTCCGGTAGTACTCGTTCAGATCCTCACATTGCGCGGAGTACAAGAACTCGCTGGAGTCCCTCATGGTCGACTTGTACATGCCCTTCATGAGACTAGCCACGTCTTCCGTGCTCCCGAGCTGATTTTCTAAAATTCCGCAGCGGATTAGAATGTCGATGTCTTTGGACGTGTCGATGAGTCCGTCCATGAGGACGGCGTAGCTGCTGATGTACTTGTATTCGTGGTGGCACTGCTCGTACGCAATCATGTTCCGGAAGTACACCTCGGTCCACTCGTGCACAACCAGGCGTGGCATCTCGAGGGTCCCGTCCTTGAAGATGACATCGAGCACGGACGAGGTTCCCTCAACCTGTCTGAACTTGACGCCGGCCTCGTGCAGCTCCTTTGCGCTGCGAGTCAGCTCAAAATTCTTGGCCCATTTGGACATCAAGGCCCGCGGGAATGAGGGCAGTTGCAGGGCTCGCACGTAGTCCACTAGGTGCCGCACCTGAATTCTCGTGGCTGCAAGCTCGTGCCCGTGCAAGACATCTTTGAAGTACTCGTAGCTGAGCTTGAAGAATGTGACAGTGGTCCCCAATGCGGTGAGGTTATAGAGATTCTCGAGGACAAAAAAGGGGACTTGGTTTTCCAGCAGCAGGATGTCATGGAATACGCCGTTGCTCATCCACTGCTTGCTGTAGATCTCATCGTTCTCGTCTCGGTGCTCGGGGTAATAGTTCCTTATGAAAAGCTCAACTACAAAAACTGCGTCCAATAAGATCATTTTGACGAGCTCGTCACTGCCTTGGGTGAGATTTTCTTGGTAGCATTGCCGAATGCGCTCTTCCAATGCACTGATCATACTGGTACAAGCTAGGAGGTCGGCCTTAATGCGGCAGAGGAAGCCTTTCAAGTACCTCAGTTTGATCTCCTCCCCCGACTGAAGCTCTTTCTTATCACAGTGCAACGGTCCGATGGAGATGACTTGCGGTGTGTAGGCCTCTGCATTTGCTCTGCGGAGCTTCTCAGGCACTCGATAGATGCAACACTCGGTGAACACGGGAGGCAAGTTGTCCATCTTCGTCGCTATGGTAACCGCAACTTCCTTGACAGTCTGAGTCATGCCTAAACAAGTGAAAGAAAGAGATTACAAGCCCATGAAACTAGAAAGAGTGAAAAGGTACATTTGGGCATAATTCCATCGACATGAATGACATACGGTGATTTGGTGCCTAATGGAAGAGAATGAATTAAGTATATGTTCTTTTATCCATTCAACGGGACTCGAGTCCCGTCAAAAATAAAACAAAGCCAAAAGCAACATGAAAATGATGTATTTTTCTAGTAGAACACACCGCGGCTCGCGATGCATTCAATCTGTTCCAGAAATGGCACAAGGTCTACATTGACAGAATAATGTGATCTGATTTTGATTGTCATGAAGAAATCCCTGCTCTTGGAAGGTTCAATCGGTGGCGCTCAGCTAGTCCTAAACCTATTACATTGGTACAAATTCAGTCCTAAACTTTTCAATTGGACCAATTTAATCCTAAACATTTTCACATTAGTACCAATTCGGTTCATTCGGTCAATTTAACCTTGAAATTGCTAACGTGGATATCAGTCGTTTTACGTGGCACGGTCGGCATTGACGTGGACAAATTTCTTAAACAAAATTAATATTTTTTTAATATTTATAATTTTTTAATTATTTTTTCTTGTATTTTTGTTTTTATTTTCTTTTTTTTCTTTCCTTTCTTTTTTTTTTTTTTCCAACTGTGGGCCGGTGAGGGCTGCGACGCACTTGCCACCTCGTCAGCCAACAAGCGAGGGCGCAAAGGCCCTCGCTAGTAGCGGATGAGGGCCACAATGCCCTCGCCCCCTCGCCGACCAACAGGCAAGGGCACGGAGGACCTCACTAGTGGCAGACGAGGGCAGTGAGGGACCTCACCCAAACTAGGTGAGGGTCGCCAGCCCTCGCCTGTGGCCAGCGATGATTGGCTAACGACCTCACCAGCCTAATGTGTAAAAATAAGAAAAATAATTCATAAAAAAAATTTAAAAAATTGTCCACATCAGCTCCAGCTATGCCATGTACTCATGTAAAATCACCAGCATCCACATCAGCGATTACCGGCCTAAATTGGGTGGGTAGACTAAATTGGTACAAATGTGAAAAGGCTTAGGATTAAATTGATCCAATTGAAAGGTTTAAGACTGAATTTGTATCAATATAATAAGTTTATGACTTTTTCTGTACTTTTCCCCAAAAATCTTACTCGAACATGCATAATCTAACCTTCTATATCTTGGCTATTCTAAGGGCAATCAGTAAAGTTGAATGCATATATAGTTCTTGTACTATTTGATTTGAAAAATAATTGCAGCATGTGGTCACCAGACATAATGCTCTATGTCTGCCCAAGAAGCACCGAGTTGGAAAATGTTGAGAGAAAAATTATGCAGGCTTACCTGAGATTCAAGATCGAGAGTTTGTTCTTCCTTCTTGCCGTTGTTGGAGAAGTCCGGTTTGCGTCCCAGACTATACAGTGAAGAACCATGCTAACCATGAAAACAATAGCTGTGGGGAGACGAGAAAGATCTGATATTCCTTAACCTTCCATGAAGATTATTATCCTGTGCACACAAAAAGTGGTCTGACCAATGACGCCGCAACAATGAAGTATTCTAGTTATTCCCAACGACGCAACAGCAAAGGCAAAATTCTTCTTGTCATAATGTTTGTTCCAAGACTTTTTCTATGGTTACAATAACCCATATCACTAATTTAAGGCTTACGACGGGATAAGCTCCCCTGTGCTTATTTTGTATGAACAAATACTCTTACTTATTTATAGAAAAGAACATTATGACAAGTTTATTCTGTAATTAATGGTTTAAGGCTGGAACTATATACTTTTTTAGTTTATTCAATCTGATCATTATACTCCTTTTTTCGGTCCAACTGAATCCTTGAACTATAAATTCTTTTGTTTAAGTCAGTCCTTCCATCAAATATATGGTCAAAAATGCTGACGTGGAACGGTGTCAACGCCACTTCGATACATGGATATCCATGTCTTGCCACGTCATTTGCACTGACCACATAATAGAGCGAAGGCGGCCCTCTCGCAAGTCTGTGGTGAGCGACGCAGCCCTCATAGTTGGAGTGGCAAGTTTTATTTAGAACTTGCGAGTTCTAGGGCCTGAGTCAGAGTCTAATTTACGTGCTCGCCAGTGGAGTTATGGCGGACGTTGATCATTCGGCTTTTTTCTGAGATTCAGTCTATAGATCGTATTCTACACGCAACTTTTTGCGGGATTTTTTCGACTTAGCATGCAGCACATGTGCGTTTTGGGGACTTTGGGAAGTTTCTGAATGAATGGTGAAATAGAGCCATCGTTAATGGTGTTTGAGATTTGGGTATGAGGAGTAGTTCTATTGCTGAGGATAGCAACAAAGATCCTAGTGTTATGGTCCAAAGGTTTTCAAGCCGGTAGGTCAAGATAACCTATAAATCGGCCAGTGTTCTAGAATCTTCTTGTATCTAGAGTTTTTTGGAGACTTTAGAATGTTCCAAGGGTAATATGGGAGATGTACACATGGTATTCCAGAGTAATCTTGGGGACAATGTCGTAAATACCCACTTGAATTTTAGAGACTTTTCATCAATTTTCAACATTAGATTGGATTGTAGATCCACGGCTGCAATTATAGGAGCTCTTGTATAAATAGGGCTCCCTTCCCCCTCATTTGGATTATTAAGAGATGTAAACATAAGTTGAGAGTATCTCTCTAAAAATTCCTTGAGTTGTTGTGAGTAACGCTAATTTTGGAAAGACTTTCTTAAGGCTGTATGGATAAGGGAACATTAGATTAGCTAGGCCATAACAAGTGGAATGAGATCCAAGTTGATCCAAAGGCGCAATGTTGGTAAGCTAGTTGTTGGATCAAGGCGCAATGTCGGTAAGGTAGTTGACGAACAAGGTGGGAAGGTCGAGGACCAACAAGCCACTAAGGCTATATTGACCATTCAACAAGCAATAACACTGTTCTATTCTATTTCAAAACTTGAAACCACAAACAAAACATATGAGATTCAATCAAGTGACCATCAATTGGCAGCGATAAGCATCACATATCTCGAAGCCTTGAGACCAAATAGAATACATCAACAACTAGCCATACATCTCGTAGTCTACCAAACAGATTCTACCATTAGCATAATCAACAAGTCAAATAGAAAATCTAGACTCCGTATAATGACACTCCAAGCAACGAGATTTGAGTACAGGTTCCATCAGTCATCAGCAAATAGGGATCCGACATCTTGAGCCTTCAGGTTAACACATCTGAGAATCAACTAGTCAAACTCAAAATTCAGTCTCCACATTGAACTCCCATTCAATTACCAAACCAAAAACTATGGCTAAAAAAAAAACAAAAAACCTCTAGCAATCTGATTTCAGTTAGCGAATTCGCTTATTACCAGTGATAAGCAATGGCTCATCCGATGCGGAGAGTGATCCCATCCTGCAACTTAAGACGACAGAGAGGTGCCTTAAGAGACGGCAAAGGCGATAGTGAGAGCTGGAAGGGTCTAGATCGAGAATTTAGTTTTTGAGAAGGAAGAGAGCGGTATTTATAAGGGGGCAATGGAGGCGGCGCGTGAGACGGCGTATGGGAAAGGGTAATGAGGAGAGGCTAAGGTGCACATGATAGAGTGAATGAGAACATGATTGGACGGGTATTGTGGCCATTGCTGGCCCGAGAGGAACAGTTGGGGCAGGCGTCGCGCAGGGGCATGGCTATGAGGGCATTCGGTGTTTTGACCATATACTTTCCCTTCACCACCAATCTTTTCATTGTGGCATTGAACTCTGCTACTTCAGGTAAACTAGACTGTTCAAATACATCTTGTCTCTTTCCTTCAGGTTGAAATTGGTCACCGAGTCATCTTGGCATTTTTGGTTGACTAGATAAGCTACAGTAGCACACAACTTGTCAGCTTGATTTTGGAGTCTTGCAATTCGCTTGTTCATGTCACTGAGATTCATTTGTTATGCAACGATGTCACCTAATCTAGATAATACCATGAAACAATAAGCACAATGACTTGATATGACCAATCCATGACGATGATTGAATAACTCAGTTCTATCAATTATGAAAAATTTCTCATTTATGAAGCATTGAAATTACGAACTTTGAAACCATAGGTTAGAGTGTTTTTCAAATGACACAATGACCAACACTTCTGTCATGGACCGACGGCGAAGTTAAAAATATGATGGAGAAAGCAAATTGCATAGTAATTTCTCCAACGAGCGTGAGGAGGTTTTCCTTGATCTTTTAGAGAAAACCGAGGGTCAGAAGTTGAAAACTCGGCTACTGCCACAGGATAGACTCGCACTATCCACAGTCAAGCTACAACATACTCTATATGTACTCTCAATCGGCAATAATTTCGTCTAATATGACTAGAATTAAGTTTATCTACATGTCTTGAAGTAGCTCGTCGAAGATTAGATCAATCGCGACCACCAGGCGGTAAAAAAGTAGGTCACAAACTCATAATGAACCCAAAATTATGGAAATGGTTCGTAAACGGGTCAGTTTAAAATTAATATATAGATCATAAATGGATTTTAAATTAAAGGGAAAATGACACAAACAGTTCCCGAATTTTGGCTAGATATGCAATGCGGTCTCTGAACTTTTAATTTATTCATTATAATCCATGAATTTTAACTCAATGTGCAATGTGGTCCTTGAACTTTTAATTTGTTCAATGTCATCTCTGAACTTTTGGTGCATGTTCAATTTAGTCTTTGATCTATATGAAATATTCAATGTGGTCCTTCTGTTTAATTAAATTCAAGGACTATATTAAACATGTACCAAAAGTCCAGAGATCACTTTGAACAAATTAAAAGTTTAGGGACCACATTGAATATTAGGCTAAAGTTCAAGGATCAAATTGTGCATTGAGCCAAAGTTCAATGACTGTTTGTGTCATTATCCCTAAATTAAAAAGCTCACAATAAACAGGTTTAAATGAGTTATAAAATGAGCCCATTTCCCTTGCTTACGACTTACGAGTACGCTTTCCGGTCATGACAAATTTAGCTACTTCGCGCTTTTACCTCGAAGGCCGCTTTCGACCCCAAAAAGAAGGAAAAAACAGAGACCCGGTTAGTCTGTGTGGAGTGTGCGTGCGTTGACACTTTTCTTGCCACCTTCGTGGAACTCCCAATAAGCAGCGAAGCCACACCTCCGCAGCTTGTCGTCATCGTCGCCGGACCTCAGGTACCCAGCAATGCGATTGTCGATCGTCTCTGTCTTTCTCATGCGCTATCTTGTCGTTCTCTCTCTATGTCTAGTGTGGGTGAGTTGGCCGGTTGTCTCTGTTTGTGGAGGGTGCGTGTTGACACTATGGGAATTTGAGTTTGTGGCAGAGTTCGAAGCTTGGCATGTGGGTGTGTGATTTGTCTCTCTCTGAGTTTTGAGAGATTATGAATCTGGAACCGTGCGTTTTCGCTGGGTCAGTTATATATTTGGCTTGGTTTCCGAGTCTCCGTGTGATTGTGTGAAAGTAAGAGGCAAGGAATGAAATAAGAGGTATAGATGAAGCAAAAGAGCTTCCATGGCTGAATGGAAACTTATGGCTGTAATTTTGCCCGCAATGGGGCAGGGCACCACCAAAGCCCCAGCCAAGCTGCCTCGTCTCCGGGGCAGGAACAAGGGACGTGATCCCCGTCCTCGCTCCTCCCCACGCTCATCTCTTGGTAGGAAGGTGATTTTCCAGAACAGTTCACTATCCGTCCTTCATGAAGATCAATGTTACTAATATCCATCTACTTCAGCTTGCGCATAATTGGTCATCAGTTAGATGACTAACCCGGAAACTTAGAGCTAAATAGTCATATCCTAGCTTTAATAAGTAGTTCGACCCCATTATTAGCTATTTGTGGTCTGTGAGAAAACTCTGAACAGTGTAACAGATATTTGAGCACTGTTTATTTTTTTAGAAACTTGAAACTGTATGGGCTTGTGGAAAGTTGAAGGATGAGACAAAGGCAATAGGGACTTTAAGTTCACTTCAGTTGGTTTAAAGTGCAAAGGTGGCAGCTGGTGGAAAGTATTGAGTGAAGGAGTAACATGATCTGCTAAAGTGCTCCCGAGCATGATAATATGCAACTACTTGAGAATGTACTACACTGATTCCACCGTGTTTTACGCACTCTAAAATCACAGTTGATGCTGGCAGTTGCTTTACAGATAACATCCCTTTTTGCATGTGGAATATAAACAGTTGAATTGTTCAAGTTATGACATCATCTAGACTTGGGGTTCAAATATATAGTTGCTGGAGTATTATCTACTGTGGTTTATTCAAAAGCGTTTGTGGTTAATCTGGCTTGATGCGGTTGGGTGGGAACGGATGTTAGACTTGTGTTCTTGATTTGGCTTGATGCAAGAGATCCAGAATTCAGCATCTTCATGGAGAGCCTCCTTATAGCCTTACAAATCCAAAATCCTTTCCAATAAAATAAAGCAAAAAAATCACAAGTGAGGACAAGAAACACTACCAGTAAAAAGAAAAAGGGAAACAGACAGGAGAGTGAGAAAGTGTAATAAGCCCTACCCCAGATATTTCCTATATGATCCTTTTTTTGTTGTAATTGTAGAAGTTTATTCCTCACACAAAGTTTTCGTGACCCAAATGACAGGCACAATTAATTTGAGTCTTGGTTAATTTGGGGAGCAAGCAAGAGAAGGCCAATTCATATATGGAGAAAAGAGGATTAAGATTATTAGCTTAAAAAGAAAGAGCAAGGAACAGAAAGATTGCTTCCGTTCACATCAACACACACCAACACACAATCTCAATCACAAAGGGGAACGAAGCTCCGTTCACATCAACACATACCGGCGCTTCACTCTCTCTCTCCGCTCTTAGAAGTTTCATTTTTTTTCGCAAGTTCTGTCTTCTTTGTTCTTCTTTGCTTGTAAACTAACATCTGTCAAAATAGGCAAAATGAGCTGGAGATACAAAGGTGGGTTGCTTCTCATTATCACTTTTGTGATCATGTGGGTCACTTCTGCAGAATTTACTCAGGTTAATCTCTCTCTCTGTGGTTGTGCAAAATTCATTCTTTTTTCGTATTAGGTAGTGATTTAATTTTCTTTCCCTGCTGAGAAAAATTTTTGAATCCGAAGAACGTCAGTTCCTCTGTCGCAATAACTTTTACCAGCTTAACATATCAACAGGGTGTTTTCGAGAAGTATGAGCAGCCATTCGCAGTGACCTATCTCGGGACTTCGCTCTTGGCGTTCTATCTTCCCATAGCATTCTTGAAGGACTGGTTTCTGAAATTCCTAAAATCCCGCACTAGGGAAAGTGGTGATAGTGCGGAGACAGTCGATGCAAGCTGTGCAGGTCCAGATTCTCCTGGCCAAAATAATGGGAAGCAAAGTAATATTGAAATGGTAAATCAAGAAAAGTTGAGTGTGGCGGATTCAACAGGCGATGAAGTTCATTTACTTGAAGAGGGACAGGCCTCTGTTTCAGAAGCAAAAGATGATGACATTGTGGAACAAGAGGAGAAGATGAGCAGCAAGCAATTTCTCAAAGTTGCCTGCACCCTTGCGCCTATGTGGTTTGTGTGTGAGGTGAGAGACCATTTTGTTTATATAAATTACATTCTTTACCGCGACTTTACTTTTAAGTGTCTGATCATTTATTTTCTGATACAGAGCATGTGATTTTCACAGCTTCTCAAGTTGGTATAAGTATCATTGTGGGTCTTACAAGAGAAGTACTAATTTACCGATACAAAATCATGTTTTTTTCTCAGCATATTTTGCATAAAATTGGCTCTCATCTATTATCCTCTACAGGAATCAATTGATTGCAATGTCTGCTCTTACTATGATCTTTTTATGATCTGCATTATCTAAAAACCATGACAATCTTAATGAGTAATAATGGTGGAAACCGAGAGGAAATTGCACTTTCTTCAGATATAGCATAGTATTGAAGGGTGTTATCATTGTTTGCAGTATCTCATGAATGCCGCGCTCGCACGAACAAGCGTTGCCAGCTCCACGATATTGTTATCAACATCAGGACTTTTCACCCTTCTGATTGGTGCAATTCTAGGACAGGACTCCATAAGTGTAATAAAAGTAATCTCAGTCTTTATCAGTATAGCCGGAGTCACCATGACTGCACTAGGGAAGACTTCAAGTACCGATCAATCACATTTGAACACAACTGTGTATGTAGTCTTTGTTTTCCAAATTCATTCAACTTCATAATTTTGATTTCATTCTACTTGTTTCCTATTAGAGATCGAACATTCTTGTGAGATAGTTCTTCTGGAACTTAAATCAGGTTGATGTAATAACGAAATAATTATGTGTAGTCCTTGCCTATTATCATCTGCATATATTGTTCTTTCTCGGGTTCCACTTTCATTTTACTCTTAATTTGTACTTTATTAGGCATATTGATTGAAACAACTGACCAGCAACTAATAATGTCTTCTTCTTTTGTGTTCAATCTTTTCCTTCATCAACAGAACCTACCCTCTTCTAGGGAATCTTCTCGCGATTCTCTCGGCTGCAACTGATGGACTATTTGCTGGTTAGCATTCTCTTTTGCTTCAAAAACTATTCTCTTTCAGTCGGAATTTTTATCAGAAGCGTAGCAGCTAATGATAATCGTCAGAAAAATTTTCAGTGCTTCTGAGGAAGTACGCTGGAGAGGAAGGAGAAAGGGTGGACATACAAAAGTTATTGGGTTGTATCGGACTAATCTCGCTTCTCGCATTATGGTGGCTTGGTAAGAGCAATTCCCTAATTTCAGCTTCCTCATGTGCACAAGTTTTTTCGCATGATGGTGTGTTGAGGTATTTAATGATTTTCAAAATCTTGTACGAAATCGGTGGCAATAAAACCAAGTACTTTCCATTCTTCAACAACGGTGTCTTAACTAATTTTTATGCTTGGATTTTTTCAGTTTGGCCTCTCACTGCTTTAGACATAGAGCCCAAATTTGCCTTTCCTCAGTCTGCGGCCATGGGGGGAGTTGTTCTTGCCAACTGCTTCGTCGCAAATTTCCTCTGTAATTATTTCTGGTTAGTTCAAAGGCTAAACCTTGATGAATGACAGATCTCTACCTTCTTGAATCTGATCAATAAGACTTGTCAATTACGAATAGGGCGCTCAGCGTTGTTTGGACCACTCCTCTGGTGGCATCACTAGGTGCCTCCCTCCAGATACCGGTCGCCATGTTGGAAGACATCCTAATACACGGTCGGCGGTTTTCACTCGTTTACATTCTTGGCTCGGTCCAGGTACAAGACAGGACATCACAGGCTCTACAAACTTCGAGCATCGTTTTTCTCAACTAATTTGTTCGTGGCTTCTTACTTGCAGGTAATGCTGGGATTCGTTATAGCTAACTTGTCAGACTGGTTCTCACCGACATCGCACATGCATTGAGATAATTTTGTACGTGTGTACATATGACTATATGAGATACTCCAGTTCCAGGATAAAATACAGATAAATCCATTGCTTGTCTGTCTTTAAGCACACTCGATATATAATTGGTAACGGTTTCACGATCAGGTAAAACACAACTTAATTGAAGCGGCAAATCAATTCTATTTGCCTTGGCGAGTCATTTGACCCATTCCACAATATATCGATTCTAACTTTGAAATCGAAAAAACTGTTGACATCTACTTTGAAAAACAACGAAAGAAGTTGGGTCGTTTTGGGCTTAGCAGTAGCTGCAGGAGTTATAGGGTGGTTGGGAAGGAAGAATGTCGGATAACTGTCGGATAACAGTCGGCTGATGTTGTTATGCGAATGCTTGAAACGCGCCTAGGCATGGAAAATTCTCAATCTTCGGGAGGAGGAAAAATTGCAATCATGGTTGATCTACCTTAAATAAACTGCTTGCAATGCCTCTACGAATCGGGAATCAGATGTATATACATCCAGTCTCAAGCTGACTGACATGTCGAAATAAGGTGAAGAACAATCACAATCTCCGTAAGCTACATCATTGCAAAATAGCTGCTTCAAGAACTGAACCACTGTAACTGAAACAACGCACTAACAGCTCTTATAAACCAGCAACAACTGAGGCATTGCGGAAGATTGTTGTGAAGGAAACTATTTTAGCTTTCCGCAATGCGCCCTTGAACGTAGATCGTCTTTAAAAAAAACTAAACCAAGCGAAAGAGGCCGCGAAGATTATCTGTATCGCGATATCAACTAGGTACACACCAAATTGATTAGCACTCGATCATGCTGCGGTCGGCCGGTGCCCAAGCTAGTTTTAGCGCATCTTGACACATCCGCCTCGCCAGCTTCTTATTCTCCTTCTGTCCTCTTTCTTGTTGAGCGTCAGAGGCGCGGCAACAATATTGATTTGATGAAAGGAATTTTTGAAGGTGAAACAATCGCAATTCGCGTCTTTCTATTGCATGTCTCAATTACAAGAGAAATAGACTATATATAGACCATAATTTGATTCGAAATAGGAAACCTCTTTCTAGGAAACCTATTCTAATTAGGAAATCTAATTGACTTAGGAAACTTTCCTAAAATATAACTAGAAACAATATCTCACAATATCTATCAAAATATGGAAATACGAACAAACTCAAAAAGGAAACAAGTACTAACAAATTTGGTTTAATTTCTAACACTCCCCCCTAAACCAAATTCTCTTCCATCGATCATTCCAAGCAGGCTCTTGAACTTTCGAAAAGCATCGATCTTGAGAGGTTTAGTAAAAATATCTGCTACTTGATCTCCGGTCTTCACATGCAATACTTCAACTTCATTCTCTTTAACCTGTTTTCGGATGAAGTGATATCGAACATCGATATGTTTACTTCGTTCATGAAAAACTGGATTTTTCGCCAAAGTAATAGCAGAAACATTATCAACAAAAATCTCCGTTGCTTTCTTCTGCTCCATAAGAATATCTTTGAGTAGTCTTCTCAACCATATTGCATGACAAACGCATGAAGATGCAGCTACATATTCAGCTTCACATGTCGACAGAGTAACACTTTATTGCTTCTTTGATGACCACGTGAAAGCAGTGTTGCACAAGAAAAATACAAATCCCGTGGTGCTTTTTCGATCGTCGATATCTCCACCATAATCACTATCCGAATAAGCTCTAAGTTTGAAAGATTCAGAGCAATAATAGTGTAAACCATGAGAAATAGTACCTTTGATGTACCGAAGTATTCTCTTTGCAGCTTTAAGATGAGATGATTTCGGCTTCTCCATGTATCGACTAACAATTCCAACATTATACATAATATCCGGTCTCGTGCATGTCAAGTATCTCAAACTTCCAATCAAGCTTCTATAATATGTCGAATAAACATCGGCACCATCATCAAACTTCGAAAACTTGGTTCCACACTCCATTGGTGTATTGACCGGCATACAGTTCTTCATGTTGAATTTTTCAAGGATATTTTCTGCATATCCTTTTTGGGAAATAAAAATCCCATCGGCACTTTGCTTCACTTCGATACCAAGGAAATAATTCATGAGATCACTATCGGTCATCTCAAATTCTTTCACCATCGATGCCTTAAAAGCATCAATCATCGCCGAATTATTTCCTGTAAAAACAAGATCATCAACATATAAACAGGCGAGTAGAATATCACCTTTTTCTTGCTTCAAATAGAGTGCATGCTCGTATGGACATTGAGAGAATCCATTCGCCTTGAAATATGCATCAATTCTGGAATTCCATGCTCTCGGTGCTTGTTTAAGCCCATATAGAGCTTTCTTCAACCTTAGCACTTTGTCTTCATAACCTTTCACAACAAACCCCTCGGGTTATTCGACATAAATTTCTTCTTCAAGGATGCCATTCAAGAATACTGATTTGACATCCATTTGATAAATCCGCCAATTATTTTGAGCAGCAATGGAAATAATCAATCTAATCGTTTCCATGCGGATGACAGGGGCAAAAACTTCATTATAGTCGATTCCGGCTTTTTGCTTGTACCCCTTCGCGACTAATCTAGCTTTGTACCTTGTTACTTCACCTTTCTCATTCTTCTTGGCCTTGTACACCCATTTAACATCAATTGATTTCTTGTCCTTCGGAAGATTAGCAAGCTCCCATGTTTGATTTTTCTCGATGGCTTCAATTTCTTCGTTCATGGCTTTCCTCCACTTTTCTTCTTTGGCCGCATCATCATAAGCAAGTGGTTCATAATCTGCAAGAAGACATATAAGATGAAGCTCTTCGGTAGCTTCGTAAATTTCAGACAATCTTCTTGATCTTGGCACTAGCGGTTCATCGACACTATTTGAAGAGGATGGTGTTGATGAACTTGAATAAGATGTTGGAGAAGAAGGTGAAGGTTGATCTTTCAACTCCGTTTGATTGGAATCATCACGAACATTCGCTTCTTCTTTTAGATTTTCTTCCCACATTCCATCTTCATCGAACTTGACATCTCTAATTACATACACTTTCAAAGTGTTAGGGTCAAATAATCGATAGGCTTTGGATGATGAGTCATACCCGATAAAGATGAGCTTTTTGCTCTTGTCTTCAAGTTTCGATCTTTTTTGATCCGGGACATGAGCATATGCAATGCTCCCAAAAATTCTCAAGTGCGAAACACTTGGTGTTCTCCCGGTCCATGCCTCTTGTGGAGTTACGCCTTCAAGTCCATATGTTGGACATCTATTTTGAAGATAGACGGCACACGAAACAGCTTCTGCCCAAAGTTCCTTGGACAAATTTTTGCTCTTCAACATGCTTCGAACCATATCAAGAATGGTTCTATTTTTCCGTTCAGCCACACCGTTTTGTTGAGGAGAATACGGGGCCGTCAAGAAACGCTGAATACCATGATTTTCACAGAATTTGTTGAATATGGCTGAGGTGAATTCTCCACCACGATCAGTCCTCAAAGCCTTGATAAAATAGCCGCTTTCCTTTTCAGCCAGGTTCTTGAATTGTTTGAAAATATCAAACACTTCTGTCTTTTATTTCAAAAAATACACCCAAGTTTTCCGAGTAAAATCATCAATAAAAGTAACAAAATATCGATGATTACCATATGAGTGAGGATTGATCGGGCCACACAAATCAGAATGAATCAACTCAAGCGGCTTCTTCGCTCGATAAGTCGCCTCCTTCGGAAAGCTAGTTCTGGAATGCTTGCCGATAACACACCCTTCACATAATTGATCGGGATGATCAATATGTGGTAAGCCATAAACCATCTTTTTGCAAGAAAGCAAATTGAGTCCGCTAAAATTGAGATGGCCAAACCTCAAATGCCACAACCATGAAGGATCATCTACGCACGTCTTTAGACATCGAGACATCTCACTCTTTATATTAAGAATAAACATCCTGTTCTTTGACATCTTCACATTTGCAATCAATTTATTATTCCGATCTCTCAATATAAGATTAAGATCTCTCATATGAACAGTATAACCTTTCTCCAGAAGTTGTCCCAAACTCAAGATATTGCTTGACATTTTTGGAACATAATAAACATTAGTAATAAACTTACGTGCACCATTCTTTAAGCGAATCAAAATTGTACCTTTTCCTTCAACAAGAATTTTAGAGTTATCACCGAATGAGACATTCCCTTTAATTGTCTCGTCTAACTCGGCAAACATCTCCTTTCTCCCACACATGTGATTACTTGTGCCGGTATCCAAATACCACGTATCGCTTTGACCTTCTTCATCTTATTTGAATGCCAATAAGAGAACTTGATCATCATTATTTACCAAGTTCGGCTTTTCGTCTGGTCTGCTACTTTCTTTATTCCGGCAGTTAGAAGCATAATGGCCAAGTTTATTGCAATGATAACATCGGATTTTAGATTTATCATACCATTGGCTTGTCGAGTTCTTTCCTCTTCCACGAACACCTATTTGGTACTGGTATCCTCCATCACTTCGAGCAGGATCTCCTCTGCTTTGTCCGCGACCTCTTCCTCGAAAGTGACCTCGGCCACGACCTCGATCACGATCTTGATTTGTCCCGCGATTTTGTACGGGATCTCTTCTTTGCTCCTTTTCATCTCGTATGGTCAACTGCGTTTGGAGAACTTCCTCCACCGGTTCAATCTTTTTCTTTCTAAACCTTTCTTCATGGGCTTGTAATGAACCCATAAGTTCATCGACCGTCATGGCATCCAAGTCTTTGGATTCTTCGATTGCAACCGCAATATAATCATACTTCTTGTCTAAGGACCGAAGTATTTTCTCAACAACACGAACATCGGAAACTTCTTCTCCGTTTCTTTTCATCTGGTTAATAATTGCCAAAATTCTCGTGAAATAATCAGCAATCGATTCAGATTCTTTCATACGAATTACCTCAAATTCGCCTCTCAAGGTTTGAAGGTGAATCTTCTGAACTTTCTGAACTCCTTGATGTGTGTTTTGAAGAATCTCCCATGCCTCTTTAGCGGTAGTGGCGTTCGAAACTTTTTCGAACATGGAATCATCTAACGCTTGATAGATGATCGACAGGGCATATTGATCTTTCGTTCGAGCCTTCTCCAAGGCATTCCTCTGATTCTGGTTCAACGTGGCTTCATCCTCT